ACCACACACAACCACACACACACACACACACACACACACACACACACACACACACACACACACACACACACACACACACACACACACACACACACACACTTTCATGAAAATTTCAAATTGCCAGCTACTGAATTAACATCTATTTGCATACTCTATGACTTTAGGAACAAACCTTCATTCATTATTACATGGACGTTTGTCTGCTTTCGGTGTCCACTTCTCTTTGCTTGGTTGTTAGCAAATTCATTAACTGTAACATCTGTAACAAGCAAGCATGGCATAAGGGGAAGAACATACATAATTAACAGGACATGCAATTAGCTGAAGTCTGCATGACACATCTGTGAGTGAATGTTCATACATAAATTCATTCTTCCTTGATTACATGCAAGCTGCCAAAGAGTTTCAAAAACAAAAAGTTTAAGAGAAAGAAGTAAACAAGATTTACATAGTACCTCACTAAGTCATTAAAATGAAGTTATTTTCAAATATCTCATTCCCTGAAAATTGTATGAAATTCCATAGGCAAAAAACCCTTCATGTTAACCTAATATCTATCTTATTCTTCTTCAGGAAGTGAGAATGTTTAGGTAGAAGTTTTATTATGTGAAAACTTAAAACAGGCCAAGGCAACAGAATGTCTTTATACTCCCTCTATCAAACCAAAAGAGAATACTTAATGTCATAATTGATAAATGTGAGGCCAGCTAAACATATCAAAAGCATTTCCTTATTTCTTTCAAAATGTACCTGATTTGCTATGTATTTGTTCATCTTATTACATTATATAATGAGTTTCACAGACAAATATAATGACAAACTTAAATAACTGACCCATCTAAATTGTAGCATTTCAAAAATATTGTAATGGATTTAAAAGATCTCTAAAAATGCATTACTAACAGCATTATTAAATACTAGAAGATATAAACAAAAATCAAGGAAAAGGGTAAACAGGTGCGACAGGTAGCTCTCGTAATTAGCTCATTGGTGACCTAGAAATTGTGGAGCCATCTATATGTAAAAACAATTACTAAATCAAACACAGAGTGGGCATAGCATGTAGGCACATGCCATCCCTGTCAGCACATGGTTAATAAGAACAGACAGCCAAGTAAAAAGACCTATATATCTAACTGCTTTTGTTGTATCCCTTCCTTCATTACAACATTACTATCTTCCCACTTAATGTGTAGCAGACGATGGGTCTCCTGCAAAATTTCATGAGCTTCAAAGCATCAAAATAGTGAAAAGGGGTGTTGCTACTAGCTCTGCAAATATGGAGGAACACTCCCTAAGGCAAGGCTAATTATGGATGGCTCCCACTTTCACTTATACAATATACAGTAATCTTTTTTTTATTAATCATCAATTTCAATAGATATGTGCAAGCTGTACAATGAAAGATCTTGTCCTAAATCATGGGAGCTTTTGCTTTCTCTGCTTTCCCTTTATCCAATGCCCTTTAGAAAACCATTCATACTTCAACTCTTACTGCATAATTAGAGCTACAGAGAGATTGAGAGAGAGAGAGAGAGAGAGAGGAGAGAGAGAGAGAGAGAGAGAGAGAGAGAGAGAGAGAGAGAGAGAGAGAGAGAGAGAGAGAGAGAGAGAGAGAGAGAGAGAGAGAGAGAGAGAAGAGAGAGAGAGAGAGAGAGAGAGAGAGAGAGAGAGAGGAGAGAGAGGGAGAGAGAGAGAGAAGAGAGGAGAGAGGGAAAAAGAGGAGAGAAAAGAGAGGAGAAGGAGAGAGAGAGAGAGAGAGAGAGAGAGAGGAGAGGAGAGCGAGGGAGAGAGAAGGAGAGAGAGGAGAGAAGAAGAGAGAGAGAGAGAGGAGAGAGAGAGTGGAGGAGAGGAGGAGAGAGAGAGAGATGGAGAGAGAGAGAGAGAGAAGAGAGAGAGAGAGAGAGAGAGGAGAGAGAGAGAGGAGAGAGAGAGAGGAGAAGAGAGAGAGGAGAAGAGAGAGGCAAGAGAGAGAAGGAGAGGCGAGAGGGAGAGGGAGAGAGAAGAGAGAGAGGGAGAGAGCATATACAGAAGGAGAGGAGGAGAGGAAGAGGGGAAGACAGAGAAGACCAAGAAGGAGAGAGAGAGAGAGAAGAGAATAAGAGAGGAAGAGGAGAGAGAGAGGAGCAAGAGAGGAGAGAAGCGAAAGACCAGAGGAGAGAGGGAGAATGAAAGAGAGAGAGAGAGAGGAAGAGAATGAATGACAGAGAGAGAGAGAGAATGAGAGAGAGAGAGAATGACTAGGAGAAGAAGAGAGGGAGTGAGGGGATGAGAGACGAGAGAGGGATAGAGAGCGAGGAGGAATGAGGAGAGAGAGAGAGAAGAGAGAGACAGAGGAGGAGAGAAGGAGGGAAGAGAGAGAGAGGAGAGCGAGGAGAGAGGAGGAAGACGAGGAGAGCAGAGAGAGAGAGAGAGGGAGAGACAGAGAGAGAGAGAGGAGAGAGATAGAGAGAGCAGAGAAGAGAGAGGAGAGGAAAGGAGAAGAGAGAGAGAGTAGTAA